CTCAAGGCGCAGTTCGGCGACGGGAGGGGGGGGGGCATTTTGCACTTTCGCTGCTTCACTAGTTCCGGTTTACAAGTCTCACTCTGGTGAAACCTGTGAACTCTTGTGAAGCTGGAGCAAGCTCGTTGAGCCACCATGATAAAACCTGCCAACACTTGTAAGCTTCTGAAAGTCTCTAGATGACTCGACACGTCGTCGGGAAGTAGCAAAAGTGCAAAATGCCCCCCCCCCCCCGCCGCCAAACGGCCCCGGAAGTGCTTAGCGGAAAATAGAACTGATTTCACTTCCCCAATCCGAATCCGGATATCGCTATTAGTAAGTGCAATTCTCGGCGCGATGGCGTTAAACGGGGTCAATCGAGACATCAGCTGGTCGCAAGATGAGCCCTCTTCAAACAATAGGCTTGCTTCTTGATAAATGAATCACGATGCTACTCGATGCACATGTGCTTCCTTCAGTTTCCATGTGCCTCTCGGTAAAATATCAAAGTTATTCCATCGATTGTGTAATGCTGTGCTATTCTTCTTCATTTGTCAGTAATCTCTCTGATCCTTATCCAGCTGCCTGATGGTGCCCTTCCCTGGTAGTCTTAATGGACCTTTTTGGAAATGCTCCCCTAAGAGTTGAAAAGGGACCTCTGAACATGAAAGTCTTGACTGAAACGCCCTAGTGTTTGACTTCTGGAATACCGTTTCAACCGCATTGATCTGCTGTTGACGGCGAGAGCGATGCTCATTGGCGGAGACGCCTAAGCCCCGCCCTCTGGGGCTGCCGTGGCTGGTGCTAGTGGAGCTAGTGGGAGACTCCCACAGCTAGATCCTCTCTTGCCTGTGTGCATCAACGTGCGAGCGATTCCCATCCCACACTACTCTTGTGTCGGCCGAACGAGAGATTCCCGCCATGGATTACCAGACGGCATCTTCAGCCGCAGCGAGTGCCCCTCCTCCACCTTCCGGTGTCGTCGATCCGCATCAGTACTGCGGTGACGATGCTTCGGTGGTTGCACGATCTGTTGCCTATCATCTACCAGCTCAGGACGTCTCATCGGCTGGATCCTATTATTATCCACCCCAACCGACTGATATGTGGAATATTGGACAGTTTCCATGCAATTTTCAACCATCAGCAGTACCTCCTCCACAGATCCATCCACGGCATCTACTCTACGGACAACAGGGTCTCGCACACTGCGGAATGGGTAGGTTGCTGCCGTGATTCTTAGTAGAAAAGCTGCCCTTTGTGGGCTGTTCACCCCACACTTTTGAATTCATAGACCTTACGGGGTGATGGTGGTGGTCCCATGTCCTTTTTATGATACCGAACATTGAGTACTCTATTGTAGCGGAGCAGACACAAAGGCGCGTGCAGTGGGAAACGGTGTTCAAAACGGTCGGCCGCGCTTCACTGATGCCGATTCAGTGCATATTTGTCCATGTTTGTCATGAAAAGGGAAATAGTGTTTGTTTCAGATCAGTTCTACAATGTTTCGGCCTCGTCATCCTTTCTTGGTAGTGACTTCAATGGATCATCGGCACCATATTCTTCGCTTATTCAACCCGTAGTTCATTCCACTCCTCTACAATTAGCCATCGGAGATACCCCTCAGCCGCTGACTAGGTATTACTATTGGATTCATCGGCGCAGTTCGGCACGGGGGGGGGGGGGAAGGAAGGGGGCACTTTGCACTTTTGCTATTTTTCATTGACGTGTCGAGCCATCAACTGGAGACTTGCGAGATCTTGTGAAGCACCGGTCAATGGCTCGTCGAGCTTGCTTCAGCTTTACAAGAGTTCACAGGTTTCATCCAGAGTGAGACTTGTAAACCGGAAGTAGTGAAGCAGAAAGTGCAAAATGCCCCTCCCCCCCCTAGATGCCGAACTGCGCCGGATTCATATTGCACAGCTTTTCCTAACCTTGTTCAGTCTATCATTTTCAGCGAGCGAATGGCACAATACTTGTGCAACAGGGATCAGTATGACTGCGTGATTACCATCTTTCACGCGAAAGTCGCTCAGAAGTCGTACGGTAATGAGAAGAGGTTGGTTTAGGTGATACAGCTGAGTGTGGGTAGAGATGCTCCCAGCGGCGGTGACTTTGAAGAGATGGTGACACCTGTCTGAAGGTGGTAGTGGCGCTCCCAGAGACGTTACTGTTTCGCGCACTTGAGCTGTGTGTTGTCAGCTGTCGCTTCTAGACGTAACCCTAATCGCGCACACTCCGGCTTATCTCAATTAGCATACGGCGCATAGCAAACGCAGATTGCTGGACGACTTCGCTAATTGACGCAGATCTCTTAAATGTGTGCACGACGAGGATAAGCATGTTGCCTGTTTGTAGCACCCTATTTACAGACTTAAAGGGTAATACGGTGGTTGTTAGTTGTTCAAACAAAGCCATGAATTTAAGCACCCTCAGGGAATACGGTACAATTTGGGGATGAGTCGGTCGTAGTTTGGGTTTCGATCGATCATCTGGAAGATGTCGATGTCGAAGAATTTGATTATGAATAGAATAGATAATGTGCGCCGATTCTCACAATAAAGGAACATATTGATGGTAATTGGCTAATAATGCATGGATGGTAAGGATTACGGTAATCGTCGACCTGGAGACTCACTTTGGCTCGCATACGCGTGAAACTTGAAATGTGGTGACATAAGACTAAGGTGGGAGGGGGGGGAGGATTCACGTGTACCCGGAACACTTTGTAGTGCAGATGCCCTCAGCTTACTTTTATCAGAGCTGATTTGTGAGTATTACAGCGGTTACGGTGTTTTCCCACGTTCCAAATGAGGTAGTCAGTGGTCAACAGTCAGATATGATTATAATAACCATTTTTCATCCAAGACTACTGTAGTCAGGAAGTAAGAGACTGCACTGAATTCATGAAAATGTAATTTAAGGTTCTTTTGTCCGCCTCCTTGTATCTATTTAATGGGAGAAGGATGGAAGGAAAAGCGTAGCCGGGTAAGTTCCACTTATCCTGAGTGTTCTGTAGGGAGAAGAATGGCAGATGTCCACTTGTAATATGAACGTTTCAGGTGGAATCGCTGTACAAGTCGTTCAAAGAGCATCAGAAACGAATGGGAGTTGCTCCCGAGCTCGGTCCGGAACATGAACGAATTTCTGTAAGTTGCATTCCTTTGAAAATAATCAGTATCTGTTCGCCAGTAGTGCCCGTATAAATCAAGCATCCAAGGAGAAAAACCTCCAGTAAGGGCTTCACATTTTCAGTGGGTTTGGCGCCTTCATAAGTTGCTACTTCCTCCTAGACCTTAAGAGTACCCGGTAGGGTTGACTCCAGTAAAAAGGCTCAGAAAAGGCGATTTGCGTCGAAACGTCAGCACAATGAGCGTCTGAATCAACCTCGGTAGGCTAACAAAAACACTTCCTGGACCTTTCCTAAGGTGGAAGCTTGGAAGAACATTAGGTGCTTTTCAAGTTTTTGACTATGCGATTAAGAATACTTTATCACGTAATTTTACGGTACGGTACGATTTGGACGTTTCCGCTTGTGGTGCAGGCCGCTTCCTCATTTCGAGAGCTGAGAGGACCGCCTCACAACGAGATTCTATACATGTTTTATGTAATACTATGGTCCTGCCCCTTTCGTCCCACCTAAAAATCCAGCGATCTTCTTGCTTTCGAAATCGTCCTCTCATGTGATACACAGTAATAGGGAACAGAAATTTGCATTTATTCATTCAATTCACCACAGAAGGTATCGGCAGTCATCTATGTACCCCCATAAATTTTTTCTAATAGCTTCATGAAAATTCGAAATCGTGCATTTGCTGCTCTTACAGATGTTCTTGTGGCACTGTTCGATCTGGAAGGGGCATCTCTACTTTCTAGTTTCGGTTCTGCTAGTTCCTGATAAATCATGCGGCACACCATAGAATCTAGTAGACTGTTTTCAAGAGTCAGCGCAGCTCCCGCTTTTGTGTAGTTCGCAGGAATTCGCATTTGTTCATTCAATTTACCACAGAAGGTATCGGCAGTAATTCTATGGAAACTAGTAAAATGCCCACACCAAGCCGATCCTGCAAACGCTCTACTATCACCATCGCTTGTAGGGTCTGGATGGAATAAGGGGAGGTTTGCGGACCGTAAGGACGCTGTCAGAACAGCTGAACACCTCACGTCTTCCAGTACCACGTTTCCAGGGATCGGCACTCGAGCGGCTCGACCGCGGAATTACGCACCTGCTCAAGGCTGACGTGAATACTGTAGGCCTTCTTGAGTTGCGACGACAGTAATGAATGGCTTCATCCTTTGGTAAAGAGAGAGTGGTGAAGGCTTGCTCGCGCTCGTAGAAGAACCTCTTTGGAGCATTCAAATTTGATCTACCGCGTACCCTGCACGACGTGAACTCATAAACATGCATGGCAAACAGTTTATCCTTTTCGAATTCCCCACTCCACTGATTCTGTCAAAGTTTGGGCAGTCTGACGGAACGGTGTGAGGAGGTGCTGGATGATCGACCGCATTTTCCACCAATAGTGGCCGCGTTCAGGTAGAAGATGGGGTTAAAATGCGCCGCGAGCAAGCTTATTCATGCCTCCTGGCACGGCCCGTCGAATTGTGACGAAATGGGCTGTACTATACTGCAAAATATGGTGTTTCCAAATATGACTTGAGACAGATCCTTCCAGCTGAAGTGCGCTTGTCTAATTCAGGAACAACAAGCAAGCGAGTTGTGCGCATTCATCGGGATAGGCGCACCGTCTGATCAAGAACGGCAACAACTGGATTTCTCGAATGGGAAGGTTAGTGGGAACAAATTCAGCCTACGCGTCAAGCATTTATATGTGAGATTCATTTGTTTCCAGGACTACTGTGCTGCAAAAACCCTTTACATCAGCGATTCCGACAAGAGAAAATACTTTGAGTTATCAATACAGTTTTTCTACGGTTGCGGTGTCGAAATAGGATTGTTCTTATCACAACGAATCAAAGTTAGCCATCCTTTTTCTAACTCATTTTTTCATTTCACTCATTCATCCATTCTTAGGTGATCAGCAAGCCATCGAAAAAGAAGCAGAGTATGAAGAAACACGGATTGTAAATACTTGTGTATTGCATCAGGAACGAAAGTGAGTTAAAGAAGGAATAGCCCACGATGACCTGTGAAAAATCAAAAGATAGCTTGGGAAGGGAAGTGTGGTCCGTGGCGGGAAATGCTCTTCCAAAGCCGTTTTCCTGGCTTAAAGTTGAAAGGTAGGGGACTAAGTTGCCCCTGTGACACCTCCTTTTTACCAATGACTTCCTCGGCTTTGAAATCCGCCGATCAGCGAACAACGATTGTGCTCGACGAGTAACATGAAGTGGAAGCTCCATTGCCGTTTTGGGGTTTCAGGATTATAAGGAATCAGCCGATTGGGTTTGTTCCAACCAGGATACAGCGACGTGATGTGTGAAAATAGGTGCGCGGTACGAATCACCGCCCCCCAATGCACACACAACACAAGCATCACTCTACGGTACACTCCCTGTCCTCAACGCCTACCTACCTACAAATTTCCACATTTCCTAGTTTTTCACCCGGAAATTTTCCGCGAAAGGGGGAACCAAATACTGCACATGAAACAGGAAAATCACGCGAAAAGTTGACGACCGAACTTTCCACGCGGGATTTCTTAAATACGATCCAGCCTTCCAACGACAAAATACGAAAAGCCGCAGCGGAAAAGTACGGCCTCCCACATGTGTTTCACCAACAGCGTGTACCCTGTTCAAACAGCTTCATCTTCTTCGCTTCTAATCCCTGTACTACTGCATGAGGCTAGAAGAGCTTTATTAGAGAGTTTCCTGCGTTCCTTTTTCTACTGTGTTGGCGAGAAGGTTCTGCCGTAGTTTTTTAAACCGGAAATGCTTGCCCATAGCCTGAAGAGGTGTGATCGATAATGTGAGCAGTGTCGCCCAGGGTTATACACTTCCTATGAGTACCACTCACTTGTCTCTCTACTTCTTTTGGAATAAGGACGGCATAGCGTCCGATGCCATCGGCACCGACTCTCGAGGCGCGAATTCTTTTTCTGAAACCCTTGAGGAAGCCATGAAAGCTGCCGATGCCCCTACTATCGGACAATCCTCACGACGCTAATAGTTAAGTGGAGAGCCTAAAGCTTCGGAAGACGAAGTAGGGTTTGAAGGTCCATGTGAACTCACGTGCGAGACTGCTTCGCTTTGCTGAAACGTACTGGATGAAGAAGTCGGAACTTAGGTCAATCTCTACAAAAAGCAGCCGCGAGATCTGAAGCGAATCGTCGATGAGAGAGAAATTCATGCGCACGTTCTGCCTTTAGCATAACGGTTCGTCCTTATCAAACAAAATCAAACCGAGCCTCACTGTGATAGACATTGCGAACAGCATCACCCTTTTGCACTCAACGTAGCCAAAGCATGTCCTTCCAGCAGGAGTTGTTTCCAAACTAACTTCTTACGTGGAACGAGCGAAAGCTTCACGACCCAGAGCGCAAGTCAAAATGAATCCTCGCCAACTTTGCCGTGCGCGGTCTGCATTGTAAAGTCGACTGACATCCAAAGGTTGCGCAAAACGGAATGAAACTGGCAGAGTAACTGTGGCCATACTTTTTTTCCTAAATCTATACGTCCTTTCAGTAAAAAGAAAGACGCTATTTCGAATAGTAGAGACTACTCCTTGGCAACTTGCCATCCATATTTTAGCAAAACTTCGAGCCACGCCATTAAGGTCGTCAAATATGCTGCGTTTTCAGAATTTGAAGTTGGGAGCCGAAAACTAAATGTCTCGACTCCACCTTTCTTACATTACTTTCCTTTTACCGTCCATTCCGGTCATTTCGAATTAGTTACTATTCATAGTCAAAAAGTGTGCGCTACTATAAGCTGTATTCGGGGGCATGCTTGTGTAATAACTCATCTGGCTGCGCTGTTCCCAGTTCTACGCAAGGAGTCCTTCGGATAAAGATCTTTGATGTTTTTTATTTTGGACAGCATTTAGCGCTAAAAGGTGTGGGGGGATGACCGTGAGCCAGGGGGCCCCAAGTTTTCGCTTCTGGTTTTTGTAAAGGAGGAGGAGAACTGTTGACGGGTAAACCACTTCCAAAAAGCTCGGAGCTTTTTACCCTTGGCTTAGAGAAAAAGCTTTCCCGAACGTCTGTAAAAGAGGGAAAACAGGTGCTCTCCGGCTTAGAGGGGGCATTTCACTGGTTACCATCGATCCCTGCTCATTGTCGATGCTTCCTATTAACCTGTATACTCTTGTTTGTAGAGCGAAGCAAAAGCAGAAGTTCCATTCCTACTTGAAAATAGTCTACAGGTCTCGTCAAGGTGAGACGTGAGCGAAATTGGCAGGAATGACAGGAAAAAGTATTTTGTGTACAAAGAAGTGTCCCCCTCCATCTCCCTCCTTCAAGCCGAACAGCGCCGAAAATGTTAGTAGTGGTTTCGAATGACTATGGTGATCTGCAGCAGCATACCTGGTGCGTTGAAGTAACGTCCAAAATGAGTGCTGTGCTTACTGCCTTTGCTGGGTTTGTACCCGTACAAAACAGCTTCAAGGGGTTTGAGTTGGTTCTCAAGAAAGTATCTAGCACTTCTTAAGAACACGCTAAAAGCGTTCATAGTCTATCTCTACCTTAATTGACCCTGTCTTTCTGGTATAAAATTTGTCTTTTCCAGGCTAGAATGTGTCACCTTATTCTTCCAGTTTTTCTCGTGTTTTTCACTGTTGAGGAATATTTGCTATGAGAAATTTCTGTTAGGTTGCGCTCTTCAATCGCCTTCGCTCTCAGACTGTCAGCACTCGTTACTTGCATGTGGATAATGGTGCGTTCCATGCGAGTTCAACCAAATGGGGAGCTTTCACCATTCATTTATGTGAGTTAGCGCTTCTTTTCATGGAATTAGCTCTCGTGACTGAGACTTACTCGGACTTGCGCCAGTTTCAGTTGACGACGAACCAACAGCCCCAGAATCTGAAAATTTCACCGTGAAAGATGGTTTCGTATACTATGGCTCAGTTGTGAAGCTGGTAGATAGCGTGACAGGCATAGCACTACCTCGTCTCAAAATACGAAAGGTTTGTGTCGGAATACGCCATAGAAATTACATTACTAACCGGTTTCAAAATTTCTAGGTGGATAAGCAGCATGTTATCCTTGACGCTACGACAAATGAAGAGCCAGTGTCGCAACTACACAAATGTGCCTTTCAAATGATTGACAACGAAACTGTCTACCTGTGCCTCAGTCACGACAAGATTATTCAGCATCAGGTTGGTCGTAGACCTTCAGAGATCTCCTTCAAGCCCCGTTACGTCTCAACGACGCCTTTCATGAGGCCTCATCGATTTTTGCCCACTTCTCGGCTACCGTATACGTGCCCTCGTTGCTTGTGTTTACGCACTCGATACATTATCCTCGCGACCTAGTCGGCTGGCTATTTTCTCACATATCTCAATCATTTGCTGATTTCTCCTCTTCCATGTAATGAGTTGCACACCAGCACACAACGATGGTGGCGTAATCAGGGCACGTGGTGCAGTGGGGACCAGCAAAGGGGACATCTTGGCCGCTGGTTAGAGGTGGGGAGGGGTATTTTTACCTTGTGGGAGATGTTTTCGGCTACCGACTTTTCTCCGTTTTTCCCATTCGCTTGCGCTATGTACTCATTCCCCCCCCCCCTTCGCCCCCGCTCGACTGCACTTTTTTTGAGGAAGCCGGACTTCCCAGGAAAAAGACTTTCCTGGAAAGTGGTATAAGATTGGGAGAATCTGGGAAAATGGAATGTAGAATGGGGGGCGAGGGTCATACTGGAGGACGAATCTTCAGGAGTGGGGTTTTATTTCGGTCGCTGGGAAGGAGGGAAGGGATCGTGTTTGCGCTCGTGAAAAATGTTTTTATCGTGTTTGCTCGTGAAAAATGTTTTCGGTTGTTGCCTTTCTCAGTTTCACCCGCTTCGCGTCGCTATATACCCCCCTTCCCCTTCCCCTTCCCCTCCACCGCCCGGCCACACTGTAGTTCTATGAGTAAGCTGCAGAATTTTAGAAAAACCACTCCGGAAAAGTGGAAAAGTGGTAGGAAGTTGGAAGAATTTCGGAAGATGGGAGCTAGCATGGGCGATGGGAAAGGCGCGGGTCAAATTATAGGAGGAAATTTAGGGGTGTGGTCGCATTTTGGTCGCTATGGGAGAGGGTGTAATGTTTTCGGGCGTTGACTTCCTCAGTTGTTCCTGCGCTGTATGTCCCTCCTCCCCCTTCTCCCCATCCCACCCCCGCTCGACTGCAGTTCTTGGGAAAACTGGAAAATTTCTGAAAAAAATCTCCGAAAAAGTGGTAAGCAGTCGGGAGAATTTAGGAACATGGTAGGTAAGGTGGGGCATGGGAAAGAGGATTGCACCAGAGTAAGGAATTCCGGAGGGGGAGGGGAGAAGATCATACTTTGCAAATTTTTTCCCCAACGACAGGACGTGCCCTCGTCCTAATACATGCAAAGACATTGACCTTTCTGTTGTTCAGGCAACTCCAATTGATGCGACTCATCACCAAATCAGCGACGGTGCTGCATGGACCATCATTTCTACAGACAAGGTACTACTGGAAGTTTTGTTTAGTCACTCCACCACTGCTTCGTGCTCTATATTTCACAATTTTTTAGGCTGAGTACCGTTTCTTCGAGGCAATGGGTCCTGTATCACAACCGATTACGCCGGTGCCAGTTGTGAATGGTTTGGATATCACGGGCAGCGATTCAATGGCTCGCATAGAGCTAACTGGCTATAATATGAAACCAAATTTGAAAATCTGGTTTGGTACCACTCCAGTGGAAACCATTTACAGGTGAGGTAATATTTTTCAGTGGTGTACAGTGATAAATACCTTCGGAATTTTTACAAATGGAAAGAAAGAGAACACGAACCCTCAGATTCCAAAGAAGAAGCTCAGGACCTAGCCCACAGATGTCTTCGAGATCTAAGGGTTCGTGTACCTAAGCGTGGACGGCTCGAAGACAACTTTTCTCTCAGCTCAGATCCCGAAGTCGTGGGCAGGACTAGATGACTGGTGTTGGCATGAAGTCCCCAGGAATGTTTCCGAAGCTAAAAAATTCTGATAACTAAAGATGCTGACGGACATGTACGCTAGTTCTCTCTGTCCCCGTCGTTTTCAGGCATTTTCTGTTCTTACCGGTTTTTTTTTCAAGAGTTGTGTTCGGTTTCTAAGAAAGTGCTGAATTTAATCCTAAAGTGCAGTGGTAGCAGAGCCTAGAGAATGGGAAAAGGAAAAAGTCAGCTGCCTCAGATATTGGGCGTTGGAAGAAACTTACACGCAAACAGTTTTGAGTACCAACCCTCTGAACCCCGACTCTCTAGATGTGACGAGTCAAAATGTTCGTTGTGATA